TTGGCAGGCTGACAAGAGGTTGAGACACTCAAGCGTGCCTGGGGGGATGGCTACGAGACCCGTGAGAAAACCCATGTGTGAACTCGTGGTCAAATACTCCACCAAATGCCTGCTTGGATGAGGTCTCAAATAAAAAACCAGGTTGTCGATATTAATGTCGGTTAGTGATTTGTTAGGGGACAACCTGGCCGGGCACATGGTCTTTGTGTGGGCCCTGAAGCAGAGAGAGCAGATGTGCAACAACCTACAGGCGCTGAAGCTGCAGGACCCGGCTTTAAAATTGTTACACACCTGCGCTTTGCCTAGGAAGGAGATGGGTCTACCCAGTTTATCCCGTTGACCACCCGCTTGTTTAATGTGAGGGGTGAAAGTGGTTTGAGGGGTGGGAGTGGAGGTGGATGGATCAGCTTCAGAGGGCCACAAATCAGCCGTACGGGGTGTGGAATTACATAAGGCACAAGACAGGGGCCTCAGACCAGCAAAGTGACGACAGATTAATTCAGTATACATCTGACATGTTAAACTGCTTCAGATGGGTCACCGCCTTCGCTGATACTGATTTATGATGCCCAAATCCACCACTTTATGCAGATAGAGGTCTAGTTCCGCTCTTCTGTGGGGATATACCGAGCAAATGAAGTCGCTGTATATCCCGAAGGCTATTACAAGCGCTTTAGGTGTGTGGAGTGGTCCTTTAATGAAAAGAGAAAGGACAAAGAGCAACAAATCTTGTTTTTTTTTATCTCCAAGAGTAGGCTCATACTAGGTAACAGGTAATGAGCTAATGGACAATTATCAAGGTAATTTCCAATAACATTTCCCCATAAAAATATGAAGTTAAAAATTATGACATCTGCAGAGTCATGTAAAATTTAGATAGTAGCGAAAAATAATACACTAACTGGAAGCCACTTGAACTGGAACTTAGGAGAAAACTAACATTTGCATCTGCTTCAGATAAACTGATTCACAGTTTGACTAATAATTGAAAGTCATGGTAATTAACAGAGAAATACAATTTTTTATTAAAATTTAATTTATTTAAAAAAAAAAAATTACATGCATTATAACCTCTATGAGTACCATGTGGTTTTGCATACATATAACTCATTCCAAAGTATATCTTAGCCTTGTTCTATAGGTGTGGCCATCCTCTTTAGTCGAAAGCACATCTTATCCAGACAAAAATCAAACAATCAAGAAAGCTTATGTTCTAAGATTTCTCTTCAAATCATATACAAATGCCGGAACCTCACCTATGGGGTGGTTTCAAGCCCTTGAATTGTAAATGGTGCAATTGTCTTAACATGGTAAAAATCAAACCTAGGAGGTGCACAAAAAACAGGGCTAGATTTACATCACAAGCACCATTAGGCACGGAACTCTCCAATGCCAAAAAAAAAAAAAGCCAACAGAAAAAAAATAAAATAAAAAATCCATACCTCTGTCTATTCCGTTATTCTTTTAAAAAATTAACTCAGCAATTTTAAAGTTTATTTGGAAGCCAAGCAGAATCAAACTACTTTGCAACATAATAAATCCAATGGGGTTATTGGCGTACCGGATATTCGTAAATATTTAAATATTATTTCGCTACCTATGCCACAGTTGCAGTTAGTTTTAATAATATTAATAAACCGACATGGCTAGACATGGAAGAGGTTAAGGCTTTTCCATTTATACTTAAAGAGGCTCTTTGGGTAGGCCCGACAAAGAGACCTAGAACTACGGAGATATTTTTTTCATCCAAAACAAAGTTTAAAGCTTGGATCTTATTTTTAGAACTAAAAATCAAGTCAGAGGTTTATATAGAGCAATGCCACTGACATTGTTGAAGGAATATGTGCCATCTTTAGACATAGATTTCTGGCCCTTATTCCATAGCTTATTTAATAATTTTTTTCAAGGCAATGCCATACTGTCTTTTGATAAATTAAAATTCAAGTACGGTTTACCAGACAAATCTAAATTTAAGTGTTCAGTGATTGTAAACAAGCTAAAAGAGTTCTTCAACATTCCAGAAACAGATAAAACTATAAGACACTCGAAATTTCAGCTCTAGAAAAGATTTTCCTGCATGAGCCAGGAAGAAAAGGCCTAATTTCTCTATGTTATGTTTAGAACATTAAACCTTAAGACAAACTGAGACATATGTTGTTGTGGTAGACGGAATTGGATACACAATACAGTTTGAAAGAATTTTTTTTTACTGCTCTTAAGAGCATTTCACACTGTACAGACCATTTTGAAAACCATTATAAGATTTTATACCGTTGGTACCTGGCTCCGTCTAGACTACACAACATGAATAATGCGTACTCAGGCCGGTGTTGGAGGGATTGTCGAGGTACAGGAAACATGGTGCACGTATGGTGGTTTTGTCCAAAATTAGCCAGATATTGGAAGATGATTCATGATTTGATAATTAAAATGGACAAAGATATAAGTATGTTGACATCAGAACTAGCACTTTTTAAGAAATTCCCAGAGTCTGTTGTGAAAATTGACAAAATAATAGGCCACATCCTAAATCGCAACTACTTCATGTCTACCTCAATACTGGAAGTTTAAAAATGTACCTACACGTAAATAAATTTTGACCATGGTTTTAGATAGTAAAGCAAACTAGTTGTCTTATAGAAATAATACTCATTTATATGCAAACCTTCCACATATTTGGGATAAATGGCAAGAAGATATAATAAAAAATAAATTAGAAAAAAAATAAAAGAAAACTTACTGCTTATAGAATATTTTGTTAAGTTCAAAGATGTATAACTAATCTTTTGTACAATATTCCATATGTTTATTGCTATGGATGGATCCCCTTTCCTATTTCCAAGTTTCCCTTCCCCGAATAGTATGTTTAACTATTCGTTATTATTTGTTGTGAAATACATTATAACCTTAATAAAAATTATTAGAAAATAAAAATAAATAACTAAACACTGGAGGCAGGTACTTACTCTGACTAATGGGAAGTCCTGCCCTGCTTATAAAGAGCAATTAGCCTGTATTACCTATTACCCATTGTTTTAACTATAACATACACAACATAAGTAAATTACATATAAATGTTTTACATATCTTCTTTTCAGTAATAAAAAAAAATAAATAAAAAAAAATAGAACCCATATCTACTGGCACTGAATCATAAATATATGCGAAAGGGAGATTGAAATGCTTCAGGTAACATTTCCAGTTGTTGAAGAAACTATACAGGGTTCTTTATATATGTGCAGCAGGCACAAGTTAAGTAACTGTCAACATACCAGTACCAAAACATCTTTAGTTTAATGTTGCAGTTTTGGTGTATATACATAAAGTCCCAAGGAATTAACCATTAGATGACAGTGCATTTGCTGGAGACTACTGGAAGGAGTCACTCGGTGTAGCAGAGGAACTTCTCAACAGTGGTGCAAATAGGTAAATGCTTTTAACTGAACGATTGTGAGTGCATTTTGGTTTTATATCCTTTTTCATGCAATAAATGGTAATGCCACATGAAGCGAAGGAGTCAAAATAAGTTTCCAGCTAAAGGCCTTCAACTGGTCTGTATAGAGCACAAACAAACGGTTTGCAGCAAAACAACTTTGGCTTAAAGGACCACACTACACACATAAAGCACTTTGTGGCTGTATAAACAAAATCATTTACACTTAAATGGCAGAATGAAGAAGTGACATGGCAGGGCATGACCTATACACTGAAAGTACTTAATTGGGCTAAAGCTGTTACACTTTTTCCCCAAATATTAAGCCACACGTCTCCAGCTATAAGCAATGATAGAAAGAAAATCCTCTCGATAACACAATGGGACTTGAAAAAGTAAAAGGATATATTTGTAATGCATCTAGTGCCTGTCCAATGCCATAGAAGGGAGAACACGAAATAAGTTTGACCGTTAGCTATTTCCCCTCCACTGTAACTTCCATCCTTCCACCCTGTAGATTGGAACATTAAGCTGTAGTTGTCTGGTGACAATAGTGTCCATTTAAAGATGTAGATGACTGAAGGATATTTGGTGTCAGACAGGCACTTTTATTAAAACACAGTGGATAATGGCCATTTAATGTCCACTAAATCGTGGTATTTTTGCGTTTTGACAATTATTACTTATCAGACATGGCATTATATATGAATTGTTTAAATTATTACGATTGGACATAATTCAGTATGTACATGGCTGTGATGTATCATACTTATCATAATGCTCTATATAGTTCCTTCTACATCTTTTGTAGCATTTTACTCCGTGAAAATCAATAAACAAACCAAAAACATTAAAAAGTGTAACTATAAAGATCACGAAAATAAATAAGCAATGTGGGCATCAAACTTTATTGTATCTACCTACAATTGTAGAAAATGATCAGCAGTGTAATTTATTCTGATTTAATCTTTTTTAATAAAGTTTGTATTGTCAACTTTTGTTCAGACTTCACATTTTTTCTGAGCTTGCAATAAATGGATTCCTCCTTTTTAAAAACACATTTTTTCACTTTCACTGATAAGACGATTATGTATGCTCTACAAACTTTGAATTGTACACCAACTAACAGAATACAGTTCATTTATATGTAGAGAGAGGAAAAAACACCCTCTCAACTCCTTCCTTTTTGTATTCACTTGTCTAGAATATTCAAATATTATACTTTATATTCAATTCTCATTTTATATAATGTAACGAAAATGAAATTATAAAAAATAGTCTTCTGTACAGCTTTGTGGATAAAAAAAAACCCCACATATTTAAACTAGAAAAGTTCTGATTTACACCTTACAAAAAAGTAACTTTTTTGAACCTTCAATAGAAATGATTCAAAATAGTTTAAATATATCTCAACTCGTATCATACGTATTTCTATGCTCTAAACAAAACAGAAATGTTGTGTTACTTGTAATCTATTTAGGACAATAAAAGAAAACAAAAATCTTAAATCAAAACATGCATTATTTTTAGAGCAATGTTTAAATTGATATTCATTTTGTCTGCTTTCTTAAAAAGGAGAACCAAAGTGGGAAGAACTGGGGTTTCCTGGAGGTGGCGGAGGAGGAGGGGGAGGAGGAGGAGGCGGAGGAGGGCCAAATCCAAATGATGCATTCTGCATATAATGTGCATGTGCGTTTGGATCAGGCCAAGCAAAGTTTGAGGGTGGTGGTGGATAAAAGTTGTGTGGATTTACATAGTGAGATCCATATGAACTTCGGGGACCAAAATTGTCATTTGGTAAAGGATAATGAAATTCTTGAGACCCTGAATTGTGGAAACCATAAGGCTGCTGCATTAACGGATGTCCTGAGAAATATGGTCCGTGTTGCTGCACAAATGTATTTTCATATGGACGAGAAGCACTGTCACGTGAAAAGCTTGGTTTAGATTCACTTCTTGAAAAGGATGCTGAAGAGTTTGTTGGTCTGCTCTTTTCTTGAGAATTATTTGCTTTAAGAAAGAAGGAAAAAATTTAATTATTAGCGGCAATTGCAATGTTAATGTGCATTAGTGCCATTTTTTTTTACCTTACTTAATACCCCTAAATACATTGAATACATCACTATACAATTCAAACATATATGATATACTGAATATAAAATGTGGAGATCTCAGTCATCACACCTCCATTCCAGCACCACCATTTCCTTGTCTTTATGAGTGTTACTCTTCATGTAACACCCGGTCCAACTGTTCCATTATTTTATTTGCCCAGCGTGGGAACAGTTCCCCAAGCAGAAGCAGCTTACTGTTTGATGCTTAAATTGTTGTTTTTCTTTGTAATGTCAGTCACTGCTACTATACTCCCTAACCAGTGCTAGCAGCGTTGGCTAGGTTTTTTTTTTCCTTAGTAACTGCAGCACATGCACTGTGGTTGCTCTTCTATGGAGAGAAGGATCTCAATAGAAGAAAGACCTATTAATTTACAGGATTTTCTTCCAAGCCATACAACTGCTGGCAAAACTAGATAGATGAAATAGTATGCCCTTCAAATTAAGCAAAAATTGTAAGAGGTTTGCAGGTACTCTAACTAATACAGGCTACAGAAAATATACCTGTCAAACAACACAAACTGGTCACATTTCAACTAGAATGGTTTTAATAAACAAAACAAAAAACAATCTATTGACACAAAAGAACATATTATCTTAATGATGACTTATTGCATCCTACTTCCTAAATCTGCTCTGTCAACCTTAAATCTTTGATTTGAAACACTCATAAAGACTGTTGGAATTTCACTGAAATTCCAGCACATTTGAAGATGTCAATAGACAACGTAAAGACTATCCTAGAGATGACAAAAGGTAGATCTACCACAGTCAAGCGAGCTTTAGTAGTTTTGGTGCTTGGAGTGAAAAAATGATTTGGTACGATCAATTAAACAGAAAGGAGGAACATTTCACAGGTAATATGACGTGCAAAGGAAAATAAAAAAGAAGAATTTAAATGAAGTGTCAATAAACCCCATAACAGAAGCCACTGTTTAAATTTACATTATAGATTGACTCCAGGGTGGATGTTTATTTCTGAACAATTATTTTACCTCGGGAACTACTGATAGCCACACGTGTAAATGAAAGACAGCTATCCAAACACATTTACTATAGTTAAATAGTACTGTGTGTAAAATACTATTAAAGAGGAATATGCTGAGAGCATTCTACATAAAGGTAGAATAAAGAGTTTGTAAAAATATTAAGAAATGGGAAGCGAAGAGATAATGAGGATCGAAGCAAGGGGATAAATAAAAAAGCTACAAGATATTTGTGCAAAGAAAGAATACATATAAAATAACAAAAATCATAAAAACAGCTTCAAAGAACAGCAACATTTTATTCACCATTGTGAAAACTTGCAACAATTCAGAGTACATTTGTCTGTCTTTATATTAAATTCTGATCATTTATGTGAAAGGAGACAAATTGTACTAATCATGAAGTGCAGTGCTTTCTACATGGAAAACAATTATGGGCCATAAATCTGTACATAAATAAAAATGTAATGGAATGTCAGCTGCAGAAATGCTTTTAAAATCAAATGTTTGACTACCACAATAATAAAAAGAGGATCAAACATAAAAAAGCAGTTCTGGTACAGTGAAGCAAATACCAGGAATATTTCGTTGGTTTCCATGGGGACTGCTCCCCTATAAGAAGTTTGTCCTTGTTTATTATACATAACATTCATTGTGTCTTATTTTGTTAATAAAATACTTTAGCAGCTTAGCAATACTTTACAGTTAAATTGCTTACGTGGCAAAAAATAAAATAAAAAATATAACTTAAGTTGAAAAAATATATACATTTTGAGACTGTTCTATTTACAAAGTGATTCTGCATTGGAAACTTTTCTGTCCATGCTCATATGTCTATGCAGGGACATCAACAACACGGACATATGTATAATGTCACACACACAACCACAAAATGGTGTGGGAAAGGCTGGGGATCTGAACCAAATATGGATGGAACATTAAAAAAAACAAAAAACTGCATTTAAACATCCTATTTTTTCTAACTTGTTAAGACCACACCAATACCTACCATAACATACACAATTTACAAATCTAAGACACTTGCAAATTGGATACAATTTAAGTCACAGACACCAAGATACAAAACTGTTATTAGCGATGTTCTAGCTAAAATGATGACTACGGTTCCATTTTCACAAACTAAGCACAGGCATAGGCAAGCTAATGAACAAATATAATGAAGCCAGGGAGGACCATTTTCTCAAAAAAATTCTAGAAAGAGATGCAAGCTAAAGAAGCAGGATGTTGGTTCTCCTCCAATTGAAGTAAATCCAGGCTGCAGGATGCCACTGGAAACGCTTGTATACCGACCTGTTTCTTCAGTGAGACTTTGTTAAGGTAAAGCAGCCTTATAAACCCCACCAATGATGCCCATAATAGGTCACACGTGTTTCCTGTTAATCATCCAAAAAGATGGCCCATCGGGATCATTATCGATTAATAATCCTCATTTGAGTTAAGCGCCAAGAATACATTCCTGGCTGCTTCACTCACATTCCCTTCCAAGTGGCAATCTTTTACTTGGAAATAAAATCAATTAATTATAAAGGCATACCTTTATATGAACCACCAAAATGATGGCTGCACAAAAATAGTGATACAGCTTCTGAACACATGCATATTAACCTTGCATAATAATTGCACAAATTAGGCCTTATGCATGATAAAAAGAGTGCATGAAAAAAAACTGCATGCTCACAGCCAGATACCCATCTACCTTTGTTCATTCTCTGCTGCTGGTGTACATGTTTATGCATTACTTAGGTGCATTGAACCAGAGGTTAATAACAAGGTTGGAGTATCAGGTTCTGCCTATTGCTGACCTATCTAGAGGGATGATGGTTAATTTAACAGGTCGTCCTTAGTCGTAATAAACGGCCCAGGTGGCACTCAAAAAACATTGTTCTCCCCATACAGTCTATAAAGTATAATGCAGAGTGTAACGGATCAACGGGCACCTCTGTTGAAGGATGCCACTAGCGCTTCCTGAGGACTCCAAGCACTGCAGCAGACACCATAACCACCGTAGACTCCTCCAGAGAGCAAGGCAGGAACAAGTTCTTACAAGAGCTTAGTAGTGATTTAGCAAGGGAGTATGACAAGCATAGCAATCCCTTGTAGCAGATTCCCCCAATAAGAGACGGCACTCCAAATTGAGGGTGAAGTAGAACTAGCTGTACTGGCATATACAGCCTCTTTTATTCACAGTCTACAAACATAGTACTGACCACAGGGTTTTTAAGAATAACCAATCAACACATTACAACACAGCTAACACTCCCATTCAATACATCAGAAATCCTCCCCTCTGCCTGTGATACAATTATCTCAACACAACAGACTAACTTAATTATCACAGGCAGGAAAATACAGTATTCTAAAACATATCACAGGGACCCCAAAACATGCAATAACCCCATAAATATATCATCGGAACCGGGGGATCTGGGTGAACCACATATCCAAAATTCACCCAGATCTGTTCAGTAGTTTGGAAGATACGGTTTAATGCAGATTCCGCAGAACATATACAGGCTATATGAAAAATAATTAGTTAAATGTGTCCCCTGTTCTGTAGTTTAGAACTACTGAATGATGTCTTTGTGCACCAAATACCGTTGAGAAAAGTTCAAAGAGTGTCTGAGTTAAAATGTCCGCCATCCATTGTTCTCACCATGTGCTTCATCCATTGTTCTCACCATGTGCCTCTGATACATGTAATGGTGGCCACCCAGTAACTCCACAGTTTGTCTGGTAGTCTATCCAGCCGAACCAACAGATGAAACACATGGGGAACAGTGCAACAAACGAAGGGAATCATAAAAAATAAGGACAATAGTCATATTTGTGCACAATCTCCAGTTTTGTCACAGGGCACAAATAGGGTTTTCAAATACCATATATCCCAGGGCCATAGTCAGAAGGTAGGAGGCAGGCAAGCAGCCCCCCTCCAAGAACACGTGGCGAGGTCTGTTCCACCACACAGAGGAAACCAATACTTAGATTATAAATATTACCAAAGTCCCTGCACAAGTGTACTGTGTCAAGGAGTACCTTTATAAGCCCAATATCCAAGTTACAGATTCGGTTAATGCCCAATGTCAATTTGCTGATTCTTTATCCAATTCTTATTGACATATTGAAAGACAGATAAAATTATCTAATTAATTTTATTACAAATAAATCTGCTGTAGAAAATGTTATTTGATAAACCTGCTTATATTCACAGTCTCAAATATAAATACAAATATTAATTTGGCATTCTTTTAGCACTTGTAACATTCTATACTAACAAACTGCATTTGAGTGTAACCAACACACAGACGTTTAACAAAACAGAACATAAATTGTGCTTGTAACTACCCTTCTTGATTCTAATTAGACAACGTTTAATTGGTATGTTGATGATTGACATAACTAATTTTTAAAGACATGCACACATTCTAAGCAAAAACTTACATGTCGGATTCTGTTCAAACTTCTGTTTCCTTTTTCCTGGATTCTGAGACTTTTTCTTCTGCTTGGCTTCTCTCTCCTTTTCATCATCACTGTAATCCAGTGCCTAATGAAACAAACAAACCAGTATATTAATAAGGAAAAACATTTTAACTTGCAGTTTCTTTTTCTACAATCTATTGGTAAGTTGTTGTTTTTTTCTAAATCTGCAGGTGGTAACTTTTCACAATAAGATTGGTTCCTCCTATTTATTTATAAATGAATTATTATAAATAAATAAAAATTAAAAACAAAACCATTTTTCACAGTTTTGGCAATAACATTTATATCAAAGTTTGTGGTACAGACCATAGTTTTTGCATTTTGGAACATACGTGTTGCATTTTTCCTGAGTAAATCTAGACAATATCCTGTGCAGTTACAGTGCAATATAAGAGACATGATTTTTTTTTTTCAAACTTTAAGTGTGACTTTTCTTAGATGGACTTGAGTCTGTCTCATTTTGGGGCAGTTGGATCGTTTAGGCCTACTTTAAACAACTAAGAAACAAACTATCATATGATACAAGAGCTTATTGAAGATCCTGACGGATGCTTTCTAACCTATGGGTGACAGTAAACCATCTTACTTCACCTTTTAGAATGGTACCCAAGGACCATTTTATTCTAACACACTGTAGAGCAGACAGGATCACCTATAGCCAATAATAGAGTGTCTATCAGCAAGCAGAATAAATGTCTACAAGAAAATTATACCAGTGAACTAAAGACATGACACGTGAGGTGGGCATGGATCAGGAGTAATTGTAAAACTCATCTTTTCTAACTTAAAATCGTGAAGAGGGTACTTAACCACATAAAGGTAATAATAAATTATCTTACTTCTTTTGGTGGTTCTTGATCATTAGTCCAGGAAGCATCAGAACCTTTATCACTATGAAAACAAATGAGAAAACAAAATCATTATTTTACAAGATGCATTATTAAACATCAGTAAATATTGGTAGCAGTATGGTTTCTCCCTGAATGAGCAAATATGAACCAGTAAAACAAAACAACAAAAAAAAAGCCTAAAAATAGAAATATAAATATAATGCATGGAACATGTCAAAACAGCAAAGGATTACTTTATCTGCTCTTGTCAACTTTCCATTCCTTCAAGCTGGTCTTGAAAAAGAACACAACACTGAATAAACCACGATAAGTACCACTTAAGAATATTTGCTATTTCAATATTTTGCTGAAGCTTCTGTTCATTTTGAAGAAATAGCATGTAAGTACACAGACAGCATGCAACCTCAAACACTCCTCCTGCAAATTAATTATGGACATATCTTTATACAGCAGGCCATTTCTAAAAGTTACTATGGAGATGTAGTTTTTACGTCCAGTTTCATATCAATCTGTGTACAAAATATTTTATCAGCAAAGATCCACAGAGAGTTCTCTTGTTTTCAAGTATGCCACAGGGACTATACTACTTCTCTGAAAGATTAGAGGATTAGGGATCGAACGATTATTGGTTTTGCCGATATTTAGATTTTTTGTAAGTATCGGTATCCGCCGATAATCACCAGTAATACAGATGAGGTGGACGGGCACGTCCATAAGGCGGTACAAGTGGCCGCATTTGAGCGCACGGGCCTGGAGGGCGCTAGATTGGAGTGACTGACAGGAGGTGGGCGCACAGTGCTCCCTCCTGCCAGTCACTCTGTTTGGCGTGACAGAGTGGAGCAGTGTGCTCCGCGGTACAGGAACTTAAGTTTCCTGTAACCGGCGGGACTGAAAGGATGTGCTTGCTGACAGAGCACTTCCAGTCAATCCGGCCAGGTACAGGAGACTGAATCTCCTGTACCGCAGGAGACAAGACAAGGGGAAGTTACACTTTGGGAGAGGGGAGGGTAAGTAGGAGGAAAAAAAACACTATGGGACAAAGGAGGGAATGAAAGAACACTATTGGGGGGGGTGGAGGAAAGAACACTATGGGACAGGGGAGAGAGAGGGTAGGAAAGAACACTACGGGAGGGGAGGGAGAGAAAAATCGCTATGGGACGGGGGGGAGGGGGAGGAAAGAACGCTATAGGATAGGGGAAAGTAAAGTAAAGTACACTATGGGACAGGGGAGGGGGGAAAAGAACACTAGGGGGAGAGAGAGGAACATTAAGGGATGGTACTAAGGTACAGGGAAGGGAAAAGGAACACTGGGGTGGGTGGGGGTACACAAAAAGATAAGGGAGAGGAACATTAAGCGGAATGGGGGGGAGGGGAAGGAGTTTCTACCACAAATAATTACACACAGACACATTGCATCCACTACGCAAACACACACACACACACACACACACTGCATTTACTAATCAAATACTCTCATTTCATCCACTACACACACACATAAATATTCTTGAAAACATTAAAAAAAAAAATCTGACTGGCATGTATATTTTGTGCATTTACCACTTAATAAAAAAATAAATAAACGGTAAATGTACAGAATATCGGTAAGCTATTGGCCTGAAAGTTTACAGATTATCGGTATCTGCTCTAAAAAAAAAAAAAAAATCAATATCGGTCGATCCCTATAGAGGATATCTGCTGAATTTCTGATCTGGTTAAATTGGCATGTTTTAGACACATTATACAATGTAACTTCTTCAGGATACAGCATTTAAATTAAAGATCAGTGATCTGAAGTGGTCATGGTGCCTGGAGACTAAATGTGCACTTATGGTCCTGGATATTGACCCCTCTGATGGCAGTTGTGTAACTCCACTAGAGATCAGGGATGGCTATGGTCAATTCTGTGCAATTACAGCGCAGAACACTCAAAACGCTCTGCACTTTACAATTGCAGCATGAGAGCAATTGTTTTCCTCTTTTCGCCAAAACAAATAAACATTGAAGCTATGAGGAATCTAAATGCCCATTTAAAAGGTTGTAAGTCTTAAGAGAAGGACATACATGATGGAAATAGTCTGTCATACATCCTGAAGTGGCTACATAATAGAATAAAAGATCAATGGTGCAAAGAAGTGTCATTTATAACCATTCTGTAGCTCAAAATTTTTGTACAGTTCAACCTTGCAGCAGATATAGTATTAACCATTAACAGAAAACAAAAAAAACACTTTTAAGTAACTCATTGGTGTATTGGTGTATTAAGAGGGTATGAATATGTGTGTTATCTTTCCAGTCTGACTCTGGAGCGCAAATTTGATCCTATTTGCCAAGGTCACCCATTCTGTCCTTCAGATCATCAATACTATGCCTAAAGCAACAAGATATATGGAAAGCAGAAATAGCAAGGCCTTCAAAACAGATTTGAAACAATACTACTGTTATTGGAAGAGATATTTCTGTTTGCCAAAAAACTACATGACATCAGCAGAAACCCTATATGTATGTATTTGTATAGCTCACACTCAAATCTGTTTTCTAAAATAAAATAAAAAAGTAAAAAATAAAAAAAGCACAACACATTTGCACCTGTATTCTGTGTAACTCAGGCCTCTTGGAGCCTTCAGAACCAGTAGAGGTTGTGTTCCTCTTCAGGATACAAAAAACAACTAGGTTTACATAGGTGTGGCAAACCTAGCCACTTGGACATTATTTCTGTACTGTCTCTTTAAGGGTTGCCGGTATGGGGTTCATGTTATGTGTTCCTGTGTGTAATGCAATGTAATGTTAATGCTGTATTTCTTACCTGGGCTATCTGCCGAACGCAGATAGCGGATTCCCTTTCGTTTCACGAACGGCACCTTTGCGGGCCGTTCGGGAACCGAACAAAACACCAGTTAATAGCCCACACACTTAGAGGCGTGTGGCGCCTATTAACCGATTGCAACAATGTTGCAATCGGTAATTAGAGGCTCTCCAAGGTGGCCGTCGTTCGACTACCGACCATGCGGCGGTCGGCCATCTTGGATCCTTTGTTCCCTCAGCGGTGTTTGGTCGTCGAGCGCATGGTACTAAAACGGCTACTCGACGGCACGAACACCGCTGAGCTTCCAGGCCGTTCGGGAGGTCCGGGACATTCGGTATTTTGTTCCCTTATATACAATCAGTATTTTAAAACTATGTTTTGGTGAATGTGTTTTTCGTACGGCGTTCGGTTGTTTTAGCTGGGATCTGAGCGGTAATCTCACGAATGATGCGCTCAGACCCCAGCTATCTACCGAACGTCCATTCGTTTAAATGAACCAGATATTCATGAAGTTATGGAATTTAATGCGAATTGTAAGTTCTGCTGCACGGAGGGATAATCCACTTAACGGTACATTCCTGTGGGAGGATCCCTCTCGTGCAGCAGTGCCTGATGGGAGAAATGCCCTGTATTGTAAGTCCCCCATGTAGTCCCCTCTGGGAATGCCCCTGGGAGGGGACTCAGGAAACCCCTTGCATGGGGACTTGTATAAATTGTGGAGCTGAATTAAAAGACCTCAGTTGACTCCCAGCCTACGTGTCGTCTAGTTCTTGGGAAGGAAGGGTTACTGCAGTGCTGTTTGGATTATTGTATGCTGATTCCCTGGATTATCCTTTGTTGTTCCTGTTACCCAGCAGAGATATCGTGGTTTATACTGCCTCTCCGCTACAATAGGACAATGACCATACATGACACTAGGTACTTTAATAAAAATGAAACCACTGGGCCACCTTTCAGCTTGCAATTTAATAAATAATGAATATCCAAACTGCAGTAAGAAACAATTATTCCACACACACCATACTGTTTTGGGTACCTAGATATGTTCCATAAATAACTATGACAATGTGTTGCAATTCTGAGAAAGCAACACCTGAACAGAAATTGTGGGAAACTGCTGCAAATCACATGTGTGCATTACGGAATATATTTACTTAAGATTATAAAGTCCTTGAATATAGTAGTCCAGCAAATGAAAAATGGTACAAACACTACGCGAAGTGAACTTAACAGCTTTTTAATGAAGCATTACAGGACCCTGTGTAATTTTTCATTAAAAAGTTGTTAAATTAACTTTGCCGAGTTCCTGTATTTGCTTTGAAGAATTGTATCCCATTGGGAGTGCAGTCCCCTTTGCTGGAAATTCTTGACATAGTGCAAAACATTTTATACATAACGTATACTTTTTTCCCCATCAACTATAACTTATGGATGAATGCCTTCAACAAAAACAAAATAGGGCTCTTTCTGGTATGCAAAGACCACCCTTAACTCCGTTGCATAAATATTTCAGGTTTAACACTTTCCCTTTAATTAACCTATGTATTTGAAGCAGGTAGAGTATCTGATTGGCATGTATATGGAATGTTAAGACTTTTTTTTGCCAGACTCCTTTGCTCATAAACCGTAACCATAATTCCTAAAACTCTTACAGAGTTATTTACTAAAGTGGGTATTCAAAGTGAATTCAGAGTGAGTTTAAAGATTTAGGCCAAAATAACTAAACTGGAAGCATATCGGACAATGAATATTTCCATTTGGCTATTTTGACCTTAAATTTGGAATTTACTTTGAATTCTCACTATCGTGAATAACCCGGTTAGAATCTAGTTTGGCAGTGATAACCAACGAGTATTTGTAAGGATTACAATTTATCCAACACGCCGTATTAGTAGCACACTTAGGAATAAGGATAATGTCTAACCGGACCTTAGAATGGCTGGACTTAACATACCAGAGAATACTAACCGAGGTCAGGAACACAGAACGAAACATAGTTGCAAGGAATAGCCAGTAGTCAGGCAAACCAGAATTCAGGGAAGTCAGAACAAAGCCAAAGTCAATAACCAAAGAAACACGATCAGGAACACACTCAGATAACCAGCAAAGGTAAACCACGACAGGGTAATAAGTAGAAGAAACGAGTAAGTTTAAATATCCCTCTTGTGAATCCGATTGGTCGTACATGGCCTTTGACCCCAAAACATGCGCGCACAACCTCTGCATGACATAACCGCATGTCGACACCACCGTGGACAGACGTAGGGCTACATAACAGTGTGGATCCGCAGCGACCGGCATCCACCGGCATTTTGCAAAAGCCCGGCCTTATGGCATAGGACCACCGAGCAGCCCTTCTCCTGGAAAAGTGATTTATGTTGTGCATAGGATATGGAGAGGATGTATACGTGACAGTATTAAAGGAACACTACAGGCACCACAAAAGTGAGCTTAATGGAGTGGTTTAGGTGTATAGATCATACCCCAGAAGTTAAATCACTTTGTTTATGCATCATTAGCCACACTTTCCCTGCCTGTGACTCACAAAGCCTTCCTAAACACTTCCTGTAAAGAGAAATCTAATATTTAAGCTTACTTTATTAAACATCTATTTCATTTGGAAAATATATCCTGCTCTGTTAATAGGCTTGGAGAACCTGCAGGAGCCTCTTGTGTGTGTGGTCTCACAGAGGAGGAGATTAAAACTTCTAAAGCACGTTAACATCTGATTGGAATTGAAATTATTTTTTAATGAAAGCGGAGAGTCACGGCCAGAGAAGGTGTGGCTAGGGCTGAATAAACAGAGACCAAAGTGGTTTAAACTCCTAAATTGAAGAAAATTGAGCAGACTACAAAAGCATGATCTAGACACTAAAGCTGCTTCATTATGCTAAAGTTTTGAGCAGTTAAAAAAAAAAAAAAAAAGTCTCCCTGGCACAAGAAGAAGCACCCCTCATTGGACACGTTGATAATGCACAATTTGCACTTTTGTAATGTCATTATCAATACTGTCCAATATGGACAGCATTTATAAGCGGATAGCACTGGGCTAACAATTCAACACACTAAAAGTCAGTCAGTGCAATGCATCAACAAAACTGATTATGTAGAAGTGTAACAGCAACTAAACTGAAGGCTTCCTGCACTTTGGGGATTTACTGAAATATACCATGATATACCTTTTTTGGATTTTACCTCATATTACATTTGCCCTCGAACTCACAAGATTCAATCACTCCAGTAAAAATAACTTCTTGTTCACTATGCACATCTGTATCGCTAATCCTCACCTACAGGTGTATCAAATGAGTGGGTAAATGAAATTAAGATAAAATCACCTAGAGATTGTGGTACTGGCTTGTCTGAAAGGCTATTCCCCCACAGCTTTGGGATATTTAGCCAGGGATACTACAAGTAATTAAGATTTTCCACCAGATTGTGCAACAAAGCCAGTATAGTCTCAGAGTATTTAATTTCTTTAACCCTGCAGATTCAAAGTTGAATAGAAGGCATTGCTGCAGATTCCCAAAAAAAAATAAAAATAAAAAAAATCAATCTGGGAAGGGAGACCTTCTACACATAGGCTATTGCATCATCAAAAAGGGAAGAGAAGAATACACGTGGGTGCGCAACTGCTATTCCTTGATAAAGGGAAATCAACCATTGATGCATACATCCTAATAGGGTAGTTCTATTTGTATTACGCAAATCATTTTAAATATCATGCAAGTTTGGAGAAATCCACTGATACCAAGATACTTCATTTGATCTATGCACCATTTGAAAAACTGGTTGAGCAGCGCCACATTTTCCTGATGGGGAAGCATGACATTTACCCCGAAAAACGTGCACGTACAGCACCTGGAGGGTGATAGCACAGCCGGGGACACCCGGGCGCATCGACAGGTACCAATCGTTAACCAGACATTAACCGGGAACCGGCACCCGTACCAAGAGGCCTACTCGAGACCCTGCCGAGGAGAGGCGGCCGCTCTCCTCGCGGACGACACCGCAGTGGGAACCTCCAAATTACTCACCTCCTACCCCCCCGGACCGGCAGGGGTTATCCCGGTCCGCACAGTGTGTGCCACGCTGATCTCAGCACGACGACAAGGCAGTGAGAT